CTCTCTCTCTCTCTCTCTCTCTCTCTCTCTCTCTCTCTCTCTCTCTCTCTCTCTCTCTCTCTCTCTCTCTCTCTCTCTCTCCCCCTCCCCCTCTAAGCACTCTCCCCCTCTAAGCTATGGTGCCAGGCGCATCGGCTAACCTAGCGCTAACACAGACACGCTTGCTCATCCAATGCTGTGATGCACAAGACCGCAGCGGCGCTTCCACATTTGAATGCCAATTGTCCGTGGTGTGTGGCGCTGCGTGACTTATATCAGGTCAGCCTGTGTCAGTTGTTGCTTGGGATGTCTGGACCAACACTTGCAGCAATGGTCGGCTTCCAACAACCGGAAAGTTTCAGACTTCTTGGATGGCTGCGACTGACAGAACAAAAAAAGACAGACAGACAGTAGGGACTGCCTACCGACCGTACGGACCCTACAGAGCTGAAAAGATTGACTGGACTGGACTGGGCCTATCGTATTGGACTACCGGGTAGGACTGGAGTACAGTGGGAAATTGAGACTCACGACTAAGCCTGGGGGAGTATGAACTCATGATTCCTTTCAGAATCTGTGCTTGTATTACCCTGCTACAGTGAATGTCCTACCTTACACCAAACTACAGTTTTCGTGACGCATCAGGTTGAAACCAACATAGGATGCAAGAGGGCACATATACCATACTACAGTTTTCGTAAAGCATTAGGTTGAAACCAACCTACGATACATGCAGACACAACCATGGGTGCATTCAAAATCGACAACAAGGACCTGAGAAGGAAAGATCAGTAAAGGTGGCAATTGACAGAAGACAGTGCACAGCGTGCTAGTGTGCTTGCTGTTAATGAAAAGGGTCCATACGACTAAGGATGGGTCTGAGAACCCTTCCAGGTAACAGGGTTAGTTCCAGGGTACATTAGAAGCATGTCTAGAGACAGCAAGGGCTAGAAAGCACAAAGAGATGTGAGGGATTGAAAGGGACAAGCGACTATATCTTTCACACGTACACACCGTACGGTAACTCGGAGAGCAAACCTATTGAACATGAAAATGGCAACAGTGATTGAGATACAGTAAGGGTGTGATGCTGTCTGGACGGGATTGCAGAGGAGGAATCAGTCCTTCACCTCATTCTTGCGAAATGAAGGACGTACGAAGTTGGTGTTCTCCTCATACAGCTTCTCAAGTGCATCCTGGATACAGCCAAAATAATAGTTAAAACACAAATGCACTCAAACATTTGTCCTCTCATAAAAACCAATCAGGATGGTAAATAAAGAAACCACAGATAAAGACGGGCATAGTAAGAGACACAGTAATTTCATAGAGCTGCTCAGCAGCATACATTTGTCCTCTCAAGGAGATGAACAAAACAATAACGACCAAGCAAACCACAGACACAGCTCTCTCTCTCTCTCTCTCTCTCTCTCTCTCTCTCTCTCTCTCTCTCTCTCTCTCTCTCTC